TAAATGGTTATTGATTTTAACTAAAATGTATATATTATGTATATAAGTTTATGATGTGAAATGCAAAGTAGTGGAAATTATGAAAGAGCATGATCATAGGGGGTAGGAGTTCACCTGAGATATGTGGGGATATATGTGTGTGGAGATATGTGAGTGAAAAATCCATATGGTCAGGCTGACACCATAGGACATCCGGTGCAGCATTATATGAGACTGTCACCATGGGACATTCGGGTAGTCTAGCAACTCCCTAGTACCTGTTAGGGTGCAGTTAGGTGTCAACGACGCCTCTATCATAAGTGTGTGAAGAGGGAAAACTATAGTCCGTAGGTGGGTTAGATTACCTTTGATTGGGTATTTCTACTATCGAAAGTATGCTTGGGTCAACAAGTGGTTGATCCAGGAGAGCTATGGTTTCATGTCGGGGAGTATTGGAGGTTCGGTAGTTAGACGATTATGCTAGTATGGAGTTATGTGTTTTGTTGTGAAAAGATACTCTTATCTCATAATTATGGTATACTTGTTATTACTATAGTTTTTATACTTTTTCATAGTTATTTGTGGTGATAAACATTTGATGAACTATATTGATTACTGAAATATTTATCTTACCCTGTGGTTATATTTTACAAGTGAGGGCTCTGGTAGAGGAAATGGGAAGGAAGGGGTATTCGAAGAGTGAAGAGCATCATTATATAGTTCTTCCCTTTCTCTTTATGGGTTTTATAACGAATATTGCTACTATATATTAGCAACTTAAGAACATGACATTATTTGGATATTACTTGTGTGAATCTTGTGATAAGTGTGTAAATCTTAGTCCAAGATTATTGTTGTGGATGAAGTGTTTGCTTGGCCAATTTATACTTACATGTGATATATATTTCAAGTGTTTTGAGTGTCAAAATAACTAATTGATTTGTGTGTTGAATTTATTTCACCCTGTTGTGTTATTGTCTAATGGGGGTTTAGTGGTCATTTTGAGTGTGATTGCTTAATTGTGTGGTATGAATGAATTGTTATGTAGGGTGTAGTTCATTTGAGATGGTTAAGGTGTCTCTAGGGCTAATGGCATTGTATATTGTGAATTAGACACCATAATATGTGTTTTGTTGTAAAAACGAACCATTTTAGGTTTGGGCGTCCATCTTTTAAATGGATGATTGTTTGAGTATGGAACTGGTGCTGTTAGCTAGGGGGTTCAAAGAGCTTTGTGTGGACACTTGAACTGCTCAAATTGAATGTCGAATAGCGAAATGGCGCGCTCTAAAAGTTTGGAGAAATGCTATGACAGTAGGTGCTCGCCGTAGCGCAACAATGTTGCGCTGCAGCACAAGAGGCCATTGAGGGATTTGTCCTTATGTGCCATCCGCTGTGGTGGGCACAACTTGCATCGTAGCAGATGGACCAGATAAGAGCAAAATGACTTGTTTTAGTTTGTTTTAAAGTGAATTGATTTTCATACTTCGGTATTTGCTTTTAATTAATTTTTAACCATGGTTTGAGCTCAAACAATATTTTAAAAGGGTTTTCTTGGGATTCCAATGTTTTAAATTAATTATTCTTAAACCCTTGAGTTGTGGTAACTTTTTCAAAGGATTTTATTTAATCTGAGTTATCACAATGATGTGTAAGTGTTGTCTTGGTAATGTCAAGGCGGACATTACATGAATAACATCTAGAGGTACAGTTGAGTAAGCTAGCGACCTCCAATGCTTCAGGGAGTAGGCTAGTGATTAGTAGAGAAGATTAAGAGATTCTCGTGGATCGAGTTTTGAGGACTTTCTTGCAGTTGAATTTGCCTACCTTTAATAGGAATATTTGAGGTCACTCCATATTCCTTTAAGCGAAAAATAATGTTGGCTACAGTACAGCTAATTGAAGATGCAAGCATTGGTGGCATTCGGTGAGGCCCTTTAATAGTAGTTCGCTCAGTTGGGAGCAGTTTAAAGAAATGTTCTTTAACTACCATTTCCCTACAACATTTTGAGACGAAAAGGAAGTTGAATTCTATGCGTTTTAACAGGAAGATATGGATGAAGAGTCATTTATGAAGAGGTTTAATTAGCTTTCTAAATTTGTAACTTATCTACGTGAGCAGGATGACAGTAAATGAAAAGTTAAGAGTAATTGAGCAGATACGCCTAGAGTATCAAAGATAGATTGCCTTACTAGGTAAGGCTACTTATGAAGAGACATGCAATAGACTCCGCATAGCTATAAGGCAGGGTTGTGAGGCATATTTTGATAAAAGAAAAGACAGTTATGGGCAATTTTTTACTCTATAAGGTCCAATCGGAGGAATATCGAAAAGGAACAGTTTTGGTACTAGTGGTTCTAGATCCTCAAGTAAGAGGGCTTTTAATAGAGGTAACACAATCTCGACAAGTGATTGGCTAGAGTAGGAGGTTTAGTGGGGCTAGAGATTTTAGAGTTCTACGACAGTCGAGTCTGACTGCTTTGCCTCTGTATCTTGTGTGAGCACTACATGCTCACCGGTGTATGCAAACTGTAGGAAGAACCATCCTGAAAGATGTTGGGCATGCCATATTTGTGGTGGTATGGGTCATTTCGCTAAGCAACGGTGCCCCAAGAATTAAGAGGGAGCTTCTGAGCAGCGGTCAATGGTGCTTGAAATGAGTGTACACAGTTTTCTGAGAGGAGGCTCAAACAGCATCGAATCTGATTACATGTATAATTTCTATTTGCAAGCAAAGAATTAAGACTTTGCTCGACTCTGGAGCTAATCATGCCTTTGTATTGCATGATTATGTGAAGAAGTTGAAATTGCATGTGTATGAATTGCCTTGTATTGTTGAGGTGTCTATGCCATCTGAGTTACTGGATAAGACCAGTAAGGTATGTGAAGGGGTGGAATTGTGCTTTAAGAGTAGGACTTCTAGGATAGATTTGATCCTGATCCCTTTATAATGATTGGATATGATTATTGGGATGGACTGGTTGGGTAGGGAATAATGCTTCTAGTTTGTTCCAAAAAGGGTGTTTCTACTAGATTATGTGATGCCTACTGTGACTTCCATAGCAACTACTAGGCAAGTAAGATTGTTGTCAATATAGTACTAGCTAAAAGATTGATTGCCAAGGGTTGTCAAGCCTATTAGTTTTCTTTGTGGCTGAAGGTGATGGCATAGCAATGTTGATGAAATATGAGTTATGGAGGAGTCTTTTGAGGTATTCGTAGATGAAATCTCGGGTTTGCCATCGGAGCGGGAAGTGGAGTTTTTCATCAATTTAATGCTATGTAACATGCCTATTTTGAAAGCTCCATATCAAATAGCTTCTTCTGAATTGGTAGAACAATAGAAATAGCTTGAAGAATTGTTAGAAAAGGGCTTTATATGTCCTAGTATGTCGCCATGGGGTTCGCCAGTCCTGTTGTGAAAAAGAAGGATGGTAGCCTACGTTTATGTATTGACTACAAACAATTAAACAAGGTAACAATGAAGAACAACTACCCGCTTTTGAGGATTGATGATTTGCTGGATCAAATAGTAGGAGCCTTGGTATTTTCTAAAATTAATCTGTGATATAGGTACGAAGCCTATTTTGAAAGCTCCATATCGAATGGCTTCTTTTGAATTGGTGCAACTCAAGAAATAGCTTGAAGAATTGTTAGAAAAGGGCTTTATATGCCCTAGTATGTCGCTATGGGATTCACAAGTCTTGTTTGTAAAAAAGGATGGTAGCCTACATTTATGCATTGACTACAAACAATTAAAAAAGGTGACAGTGAAGAACAATTACCCGCTTTTGAGGATTGATGATTTACTGGATCAAATAGTAGGAGCCTTGATATTTTCTAAAATCAATCTGTGATCTAGGTACCAAGCCTATTTCGGAAGCTCCATATCGAATAGCTTCTTTTAAATTAGTAGAACTCAAGAAATAGCTTGAAGAATTGTTAGAAAAGGGCTTTATATGCCTTAGTATGTCGCTATGGGGTTTGCTAGTCCTTTTTGTGAAAAAGAAGGATGGCAGCCTATGTTTATGGATTGACTACAAACAATTAAACAAGGTGACAACAAAGAACAATTACCCACTTTCGGGGATTGATGATTTGTTGGGTTGGATCAAATAGTAGGAGCCTCAGTATTTTTTAAAATTGATCTACAATCTAGGTACTATTAGTTAAGGGTGAATGCAGAAGATCTACCTAAGATGACATTTCGTACTCGATATGGTCACTTTGAATTCTTGGTGATGCCATTTGGGTTGACAAATGTGCTTGCGACTTTCATGAATTATATGAATCGCATATGCCGTCCCTTCTTGAATCAATTTTGTCATGTTCCTAAATGACATACTGATATATTGTAAGGATGAGGAAGAGTACTCGAGGCATTTAAGGCGTCATATTATACTTTGAATGTAGTTCACTCGATAATGATTTCCAATGAGTTTTGGAAAGAAATACAAAAAGCTCAGTTGAAAGACAAGTTCTTGTCGAGTATTCGAGAAGATATAGAAGAAGGCCGTACTACCTTATTCTAGTTTAGTGATGATAGGTTTATCTTGTATAAAGATAGAATTTGTGTGCCTGTAGGTAACAAAATCAGAAAGAAGCTTTTAAAAGAAGCCCACTGGAGAAAATATGCAATGCATCTTCGTATGACTAAGATGTATCATCATATGAAGAAACATTTAACATTTATGGTGGCAAAGTATGAAATAGGATGTCACCAAGTTTGTGGGCCAGTGTCTTATGTGTTAGAAGGTAAAGATTGAACATCAAAGACCAGCTAGAACGCTTCAACCCCTAGAGATTCCTCAATGGAAATAGGACATTATATCAATAGGCTTCATGTCTGGTTTATTGAGAACTTGGTTTGGATATGACTATGTATGGGTTATTGTGGATCAATTGATGAAGTCAGCACACTTCTTGCCAGCTAAGATCACATATGATGTGGGAAAATATGTGTAAGTGTAAGAAAGAGATTGTGAGACTACATGTGTCTAAGGACATACATAGTCTTAAATAGAGATCTTCGGTTTACTTCAAGGTTAGGAGCACTGTAAAAGGTTATGGGTACTAAGTTGAGATTTAGTACCTCTTACCATTCACAAACTAATAGATAGATTGAGTGTACAATATAGACTCTGGATGAAATGCTTTGATCATGTGCTCTCGAATGGAAAGGCAATTGGGACAGTCATTTGCCTTTAGCTAGATTCGCCTACAATAATAGCTTCTATTCAAGTATTCAAATGGCGCCTTATGAAGCATTATATGGGCGAAAGTATATATCTCCTCTATGTTGGGTGATTGGTCCAGATATTGTGGATCAAACGATAGAGAAAATCCAAGCTATTAGGCAGAACTTTCTTACTGCCCAGAGCTATTAGAAAAGTTATGTTGATAAGTAACGTCGACCATTAGATTGAGCCAATTGCGTAACAAGGCTATTCGATTGGTAAAAGTGTTCTGATGAGGAATGGCTTTTGGTTTCGTAACGTGGGAGACGGAGGAGAATATAAGGAAGCAATAACCTCATTTGTTTTGTCCATAAAGTGAGTTTTAACTATATTTGAATTTTGGGGACAAAATTCCTTTATAGAATTGTAACATTCTAAATTTCAATTTAAAAAAATAGTTAACTAATCAGGGTTGGATTAGTAATCAGTGAATTGATTATAGTCTCGATGCTGAGTTGATGTTTTTGTATTGGTTGGTTGTTATGTTAAGAGTATTGAAGGGTAAAATGACAATCCAGGATGTAACGTGCGAACAACAGTGAAAATTGTCTCATTATGCCACGCGCCACGGCATGTCTTGCATGCATCGCAACGCATGGTATAGAATTTTGACAAGTTAAGTCGTGCTAGCTCGTGAAATCAAAAGGGGAGATTTAGAAAAACATGCATGAGAGGCAAAAAAGGCTTGGCTTTGTTAAGGCATTCATTTGCAAGAGCTTGGGAGTTTGCTTCGGCTAGTGACTTGTTGGGTAAGTATCATACATCCCTGAGCTACATTTCTACCTAAATTTCTTTAAGTTTGATCAATAGAGTGAATCGGGAGGTTTTAAGGAATTAGAATCTATGGGAATGGTTTAACAAGGACTTTTGAATGTGAAACTATGGTTTTGCAACTATTCTAAAGTTAAATGTTTGAATCTTTAGAGTTTAGGCTCAAATTAGCCTAAAGAATTAGGTTAAAATGGAGAAATTGGTTGGTTAAATGAGTTAGGAGACTGTTATGGTCATTTAAATAGCTTATAGGGCTAATGACTATAGACTAAGGATTATATGAACTCAAAGAACCTTAATTAAGTTTTTTGTGCATTGAGAAATTTGGCTTAGCCAAATTAGTGCCTGTGTTAAGTACTAAGAATTGACTGAGGGACATTGTATTGTGTAGATTGAGCATTTGTGTCATTGCTCGTGAGAGTCTACACCCTTGGGAGCTTGGTGTGATTAGCACCCTTAGTAAGAAGGGTAAAAAGGTAACTAAAGTAACCATTTTACTTGTTTGTTTGTGAAATTATTTACAAGTATTCTATTTAAATGTATGTAGTGTGATTTATGAACTGATAGAATAATAATGTTATGAAAGAGTTATGCATGCGTGTGTGAGTGATGCTTGAAATGAATGTGAAGAGATGTGTATAGACATGTGCATTGCATCTACGAGTATATTTAGACTAGTGTAGGGGGTTGCAGCCCTATTCTTGCAAGGTTAGAAAGTTCTGAAGGTCTTGGTATGAAAGAGTCATGCATATGAGTATGTGAATGATGCTTGAAATGAATGTAAAGAGACATGCATAGACATGTGCATTGCATTTGTGAGTATACCCTAAACTAAAGTAGGGGGTTATGGTTCTATTCCGTATAAGGCTACAAAGTCCTAATAGTCCAAGTGTTGAGAATGCTCCGCTCGATAGCACCAGGAGACCACCTATATGCATTGATGATTACCAGACAGAGACAAAGGTTTTATGGGCCCTGTTTCATGTAAAGTTGGAAAGTTTTGGTTTGAGTGTAGAATCGAGAATGCATGAGCATATTATCATTGTGAAAATATCTTATGAATGTATGCCATACTGTTTTATAAATTAATGCTGCTCTATCTCTTATTTATGATTTTACTGCTTACTAACTAGTATTGAATTATATTCGAGTTATTAGGATGTATGTTTCATTCCGTTACCTTTGTACGTAGGTGAAGAGAGCATGAAAGGATTGGAAAAGGAGGCAAGGAAAGAATAGCCTCAATTGGTAGTGGTATGACTACTTTTGTGTAATGAATGTACAAATGGAATGTTAGAGATTTAAGTTGCCAACTAAGATGCATAAGTATATGTAAATATGAATATGTGAATGTATATTTAGTTTGTGATTGAAAACTTACGTGTATGTAATATTGCATCTTGTCGAGTGTATCACAATAGTGAATATGTCGGTAGGCCATGTATCCAAGCAAGTTTGTATTGCATTGTATAACTTGTTTCATTTGTATTGTATGTATTGTGTATTTGTGGAAAACATAACCAAATGGTGAGGCTTGGCCTCATTTGTGATTCCGAACTATATGGTGAGGCTTAACCCTATATGTATTGTGCCTCATATAAGCCCACAAGTGTGTAATGTGGCATTGAGAGGTCGAAATGATTATATGATATGATATATGTAATTTGTGACATTAATCCAGTGTATATAACCCTTTTAGATTTGGTTTAAGACCCAAAGTGGTCTATTGGGACAAGAAATGAGAATTGAACACTTAAGGTGTAATTTTTGAAAATAAAAGTAGTTTTTTGCACTTGAATATTCAATTTTAGATCGGATCGTTGGATCATGTTCAAATTTGTCTCATTAAATAGAATATGTTATAAGTTTTGTGTGGGCAATTAAATCATTCCAATCAAATATTGAGTGTGAAAATGGAGTACGGTGGGAGTTTGCCTTGCAAACTAAAGTTGTTGTCATATATATTGCGGCATGACACATAAAGAGCCTGTGGCTCCATACCTCATGTTGCGGCACATGGCCCTTTTTAAGAAAAATTATTATGTTTTCTTGTGTCGTGTATTTATGTTATGCTTTCATTAGCACTTTTATTTAAATATATTTTATAAGAAGTTGAGATCCCACATTTTGAAAATAAATAAAAGGCTATTGCTATGATATTATGTTATTATTGTTTTGATATTATTTCTTGATGGTGTGTTTGGGATAGTAAAGTTCGGATTGATTTGGGGACTTTACACAAACCATTAGAATCCTTTGATCTTTATTATCAATCTTGATAGATGGCAACTCAACTATTGTAGAAACTTAAGGGGAGCATGGGAAGCAAGTAAAATGTTAAAAGGTGCCAGTCGTTATAGGGAAGCAGGTAAAATGGTAAAAGATACCTCTTGGAGGCACTCATTGACTTGGCTCTTGCAAATGTAGACACAAGGGAGGTTAGAGCATGATATACAAAAATAAAAATCAACAAGTACAAAGTGAGGTTTAGAATTGTGGTATTAACTATCTTATGAAGAATGATTTAGAAGTCCCACCTTCACATAACAGACAGGATCTTGTTAGGAATAGAGAGTGATCACTTGAGAATAGGGTGAGAGGAGAGATGGGGAAGAGTAGCAAAAGAACACCGCATCTTAACTCAAAACCTCAAGGCTCAACTTTACAAGTCCTTCATCTTTATTATCTATTAGTTATTAAGCCTAACTTCATATGATGTGGGAATCTTATATTCACTGATAATTGGACAACCTAACAATCTTCCTCTTAAGTGTGAGTCAACAAGCTCCTCATATCAAAGACATCTAAAATCTCGAGCAAAACCTAGCTCTGATGGAGGATCAATCTTTATTGTCTTTACTCACTGGGCAAGAAAGTGAGGGATACAAATGTCAAAGCTAAGTTGTCAAGCTTGAATCAAGGTAAATAATTATTGACATAAGAAGTTAGCTTCACAATACCTGTACCATGATAAATTAAGGGGTCTTAGAGTAGTGTAAGAGAGGAATATTGTTGTATGGATATATCAAGGAAGATTGCTTGAAATCTTGTTAAACAAGTTTGATCATGACTGATAACAATTGAGTTGTTCAATTGGTTTTTTGGGATGACTAGAGAGAGCTTAGTTACATGCTTGTTACCTTTTATATGGGTAAGTAATGTCACTCTATTTTGAATTCAAATTTTGCTCGCCAAGGGTATACCTCAACAAAGGATTATGTTAAGATGAGTGCTTTCAGTTTCATAGATGATAGGTGATATAGCCTTTGGACCTGGTCACTGCTTGATGCAACACATAGATTCAATTGCAAATAGAGAGGAAATGGGAGAAAAGAATAGAACATGGGGAAAAGATTAGTGGTAGAATCATAGAAGGAGGAGGAAAAGAGAGAGAACATAAAACTAGAGAGAAACAGAATAGGGAGAGAAGAGAGATAGAATAAAGATATTAGAGGGGAAGCAATCGGAATGTCACTCAAAACATTTTTATTCATCAAAATCCAAGAACTGTCTTACATGTGCTACTCAATGGCTCTTTATAGAAGAAGCCACAACTAAGGTTTCCTTCTTATGAATGAAACATCAGAACAAAAAAAAAACATAAAAGGTTTCCTCTCCCTTTAAGGAAACACCCACTTACCCCAGTTTATGAAATGACAAAATAACTACTTGCTCTTCCTAAATGCGGCGTTTCGTTAACTTGTTAGAGGTTTGACTTCTTGAATCCCTTAAGTTGAAAGTATTGGAAAAATCCCATATTGGAAAATTCCCTACTAGGTTGATAGAAAATATATTTGTTGACATCAAGGGTAAGGGCTATCTATTCTGGAAAAGCTGAATGTCAATATAGAAATGCTTGACATTGTCACTAAAGGCCCCATATATTTCAACGATAGCTAGATAAGGCTAGTCAATTTGAATGCCAAGGCTAAGCTCATTATAGCTCGTGCAATGGGCAAGGAGATGTGGGATGCACTAAGGTAGGCTCGTAAAGGAAATGATAGAGTGTAAGAGAATAGAAAGAGTAATCATATACATGATGAATAAGAGACTTTCAAGATGAAAGGTGGAGAAACCATCAAAGATATATGCAAATCAAATTCACGCATATCATCAACCACCTGATGAAAGGAAGAAGACATATTACCTAAATCGAACAAATTAGGAAACTTCTTAAAAGACTTCCAATAGAGTTGCAACCCAAAATCACAGTAATCACTAAAGCTCAAGGAGCTTTAATGAGATCCATAGCAACACTCTATACAAAGAATAGGTGAACAAGAAGAAAATGAAAGGGGTTGCTCTTAAAGCTGTAGAAAGAAGAGTTAGAAGAAAAATTTGATCAAGATGAGGAATTTACCATGATGGTCAGGAGGTTTAAAAAATTCTACAAGGGCAGAATGAATTGGATCATCTAGCAACAACAAAGATTAGAAGGAACCCCTTACATGCTACAAGTGTAAGAAGCCTGGCCATATATCAAATAGGATTGTTCTTAATGGCAGATGAAACAAGAAAAGGAGAAAAAGAAGGAGAAGCCAAGGAAAAAAAGAAAGCCTGAAGATGAAAAAGAAGAAGAAATAGCCTAGCCATATCAGATGAGGTAAATTTTATTTTATTTATTTCAAGAGTTGGTAAACAACTTTTGTGTGCAATGGATATTATTTCTACATTAGAAGAAAAATTAAAAACTCCTCTAAAAAGGATACTGTAAAAGAGAATATTTAAATGTGTACTAGTCACATTGCATTACAAACTCAAAATCCCTTATATGTTAAATATTCTAATTGGCTCTTAATGATGCATCTCTAATAGGTCAGGAATTGGGTATAATCCCTCAACTGACACTTTTTATAAAAAGCCAAAAAAGGCCACAAGGTATTATTATAGTTATTTTAAGCCTTCTATGCATTCATTTAGCCCCTTTATCACCTATGCATACTATAACAAGAAGGGTCACCATGTCAAATCTTGCCTTTAAAAGTACTCATGTACTTAGGAATGTGACTAACAAGAAAGGACCCAAAAAGAAATTAGTACATGATCTCATATTGCCGATATGTCTCACTAATGAGAAAGAAGGAGACATTAATGAGAAAAAGAAAAAGTGGTATATAAATAGTGGATATTCAAGACATATGACTAGAGACATTGATGAGTTTGTAGAATTGGTAGAGAAAGAAGGAGGAAATACTACCTTTGGTGAAAATAAAAAAGGTCAATAGCTAGCATTATCGAGGTTGGTAGAGGACGCTAGTATAGAAGATGTTCTGTATGTTAAGGGACTCTTCCACAACCTCATCAACGTTAACGAAAGCTATAATAAAGGAAGTTAGACGAAACATCTTCATTGTCTAAAGGAAGCCATATGTATTGTCCAAAGGAAGTCAGATGGAAAGATACACATCATGAAGACAGGAACGATAACTGCTATACCTTTGATTTAGATACTGAATCATTCTTGCAATAATGTTTTTTGAGTAAATGTGAGAAAAATTTTGGTGGCATTGTCATTTGGCTCACATTAATGAAAAGTAGTTAGAAAAATTAGTGAATAATGGTTTGGTTATCACCCCTTCCACGGTTAAGCTTTGATCAAGAAAAGATATGCTAATCATGTCAATTTGGAAAACAAATGAAGTCATCTTTTAAACATAAGGATTTTATATCCTTTCAAAGACCTGTTTAGCTCTTACATATAGACTTAGTGAGTCCTTCAAGAGTCAAAAGTTTTAATGGTAATCTTTATATGCTTGTTATTGTAGATGATTACTTTGCCAAAAAGGTAAAATAAGAAGGGTATATCTATTATGTCTATCAAGTCATCCATGGAGGAGAGTTCAAGAATAGTGAATTTATGGAATTATGTGAATTTATGAAATTTATGCAATTATGTCTATCACTTTAGTTGATTATCTCCAAAGCTAAAAGGGGGAGACAAAGATTGAGAGTTTGAGGTTGGCTTTTGAGATGAAAAGATGTAGAAACATCAATGAGAAAGGTCAAAGAAGTGGTTATGAATTCTAGGATAGACAAGTATAAGGGACAACTAGTGATAAGAAAGAAGTACTAGGAAATTCAAACTTAAGCTTGTGTCTACCACCCTCAATGCCTCACATTGACATTATCATAGATGATTGGGTGAAAAATTATGGCAAAAGTTGATGTTTGAAGATCAAGAAGGGCCCTGTCATTTCATAACACAAAAGGTTTTCTTTTTTTTTTTATTTGAATAGATTCTCTTACTCAATTCATAGTTTGTGTAATTTATTTTTCCTGCTTATTACCTATTTGAAAGGGAGACAAACCCTCTCTTGGACTAATAAAGTGTATGTAGTTCTGTCATCATTAAAAAGGGAGAGAAATGTCATTTTGGTTTTGATGATTACAAAATAAGAGAGGTGATTGTGTTTTGCAGGTTTAATAATTAAGAATTAATAATGGCTTGTAAGGGAATCAATGGTCTTTGCTATAAATTCTGGATCTAAAGTCTTTTTCCCAAATACATACTTTTCTAACTAACCTTGTTTCCAAATAAGTATGTCAAACA